TTCTTAAATGGAAGAAGTTTGGAATCACCAAGACTCTTCCTAGAGCTGGCTGCTGAGCAATCGGGGGGAGAATGGCCTTGGTCAGGGAGGTGACCAAGAACCCGAGGTTCACTCTGACAGAGCTCCAGAGTTCCTCTGTGGAGATGGGAGAACCTTCCAGAAGAACAACCATCTCTGCAGCACTCCACCAATCAGGCCTTTATGGTAGAGTTTCCAAACAGAAGCCACTCCTCAGTAAAAGGCACATGACAGCCCGCTTGGAATTTGCAAAAAGGCACCTAAAGGACTCTCAGACCATGAGAAACAAGATTCTCTTGTCTTATGAAACCAAGATTGAACTCTTTGGCCTGAATGCCAAGTGTCACGTAACAAAATGTGGAAAAAGTTGAGGGGTCTGAATAGTTTCCGAATGCACTGTATACATCTTTCAGATGTAATTGGAACTGAGTTGATAGCCCATCGCATTCCAAAGTTAGAGCAAAACGATATCGCCATATCATCGACCATTTTAGGTCAAACCGGTATGTCAGATTAGCTCAATCCCCAATTTGTCATCCTCTGAGTATCACAGAAACACAACACTGAATGAACAACATAAACATTTTCATGACAAGTTGCTATGGATGAAAGTAATCAAAATAACTTTTCAAAATACAACATTTGTTACTATGAAAGTGTAAAGATTTGAACATATATGGTTATTTTTGAAAATGAAAACCATTTACTTGTGTTACGAAGTAACCCTTCGTAACACAAGGGTTAGGGTTAGGGGGAAAAAACACTGGCAGTTTTTGAGGATTACTTTACTGTTTATGAGGATTACCAACCAATGATCTCTATTGCACAGCATGGTCGGAAGAGAGCTTGATAGTATGATGTGAAACAATCGTATCTGCCTCGGGACTTGGTGTGCTTGGAAAATGACCAGCACACATCCTGTCGGACCGGACGAATCGCTGCGATAACCGACCCCTGAAAATAAGTAAAAAGAGGAGCTACCCAGTTCTTCCCGCGCAAAGGCCACTCACTCCCCCTAGTGGTACATGGAGAGATATACAGTGCCTTCAGAAAGTATTTATACCTCTTGATTTATTCCACATTATGTTTGTTAAATTCTGAATTCAAAATGGATTCAATATTTTTTTCTCTCTCACCCATCTACACACAATACCCCATAATGACAAAGTGAATTGAAAAAAATACAGAAATATCTAATTCACATAAGTATTTACACCCCTGAGTCAATACATGTTAGAATGACCTTTGGCAGTGATTACAGCTGTGAGTCTTTCTGGGTAAGTCTCTAAGAACTTTGCACACCTGGATTGTACAATATTTGACCATTATTCTTTTCAAAATTATTCAAGCTTTGTCAAATTGGTTGTTGATCATTGCTAGATAACCATTTTCAAGTATTGCCATAGATTTTCAAGTAGATTTAAGTCAAAACTGTAACTAGGCCACTCAGGGACATTCACTGTCTTCTTGGTAAGCAACTTCAGTGTAGATTTGGGCTTGTGTTTTAGGTTATTGTCCTGCTGAAAGGTGAATTATTCTCCCATTGTCTGGTGGAAAGCAGACTGAACCAGGTTTTCCTCTAGGATTTACCCTGTGCTTAGCTCCATTCCATATATTTTTTATCCTGAAAAATTCCCCAGTCCTTAACGATTACAAGCATACCCATAACATGATGCAGCCACCACTATGCTTGAAAATATGGAGAGTGGTACTCAGTAATGTGTTTTATTGGATTTGCCCTAAACATAACACTTTGTATTCAGGACAAAGTTAATTGCTTTGTCACATTAGGTTAGTATTGTGGAGTAACAACAATGTTGTTAATACATTTTTAGTTTTCTCCTATCACAACCATTAAACTCTGTAACTGTTTTAAAGTCACCATTTTAAAGTCGTCCTGTGTATTTCGGTGAGTTGACTATCAACATATTATCGTTGACATACTTTGTATAGGCTCAACTCTGACATTGTGTTATTGTCAGAAGGTAGCTAACTAAACTAACTCTCATCCAACTCAAGTCATTTTCAACTCTACGCCGTATCTTGCGTCAATGAAATAGATAGCCTACACATCTACCGAACACAATGTATCAATAGTCTGATATATCATATATTCAAGACATATTTAAATCGACAACGAACATAATTGCCACTGTAAGATTAGTTTACCTTTATAACTTCGTAAAGTCTAGCCTAGTCAAATTCCTTCACTAGTCTGTTCTGAAGACAAGTAGTTTCACTTTCGATGTATGTTTATTTTTTTTTTACTTTTGGAGATTTACCACTGGAAATGTGGGTAATATTCGGTTGAGACATTGAGCAATGAGATTTCAACATTTATTCACCCACCCAAAAAGACAGCCAGAAGTTGAATTCCCAAAGTGTTATCACTATACTTCAACCACCTAAAAGCACAACCAAATTCTAATAGAAAAACTATAATTTAGTTGTCATCGAAATGTGTTATCACTTAGTTTTCAGCCATTTTAAAAGCACAACAAAGTTGTAGGAATGCCTTATATACTGAGTATACAAAACATTAAGAACACCTGCTCTTTCCATGACATAGACTGACCAGGTGAATCCAGATGAAAGCTATGATCCCTTATTGATGTCACTTGTTAAATCCACTTCAATCAATGTAGATGAAGGGGAGAAGATAGGTTAAAGAAGGATTTTTAAGCCTTGAGACAATTGAGACATGTGTTGTGTGTGCCAGTTTAGGGCTCCCGTGTGGCGCAGTGGTCTAAGGCACTGCATCTCAGTGCTTGAGGTGTCGCTACAGACCCCCTGGTTTGATTCCAGGCTGTATCACAACTGGCAATGATTGGGCGGCCCACAATTGGCCCAGCGTCTTCCGGGTTTGGCCGGTGTAGGCTGTCATTGTATATAAGAATTTATTCTTAACTGACTTGCCTAGTTAAATAAAATAAAATTCAGAGGTGAATGGGCAAGACAGAAGATTTTAGTGCCTTTGAATGGGGTATGGTAGTAGGCGCCAGGCGCACCCGGTTTGTGTCAAGAACTGCAACACCGCTGGATTTTTCACGCTCAACAGTTGGATGTTACTCATTTTAAGGTTGAATAAATACTGTTTCATTAGTTTGTAAGATACATTAAATAGACTAAAGTTAAGGCTATTTAATGTATTGCAAAAGTGATCTTGAATTGTGTTTGGTTTAAATATCAACATTTGAAGGAGATTTATATTTTGTGCTACAGACTTAGTCTGGCTTTCATTCCAGTTTGTCTACAAATTAATAATTGATATGATGGATTCACATCTCCATCTCAACCAAACATTTATGTTAAAGAAAATGACTAAATTACATCAAATCAAACTTTTGAAATGCACTTTAGACAAAATTTAACTTAGGTTTTTGGTTGAGATGGTGACCTGTATCCAACATATTAATTAACAACTTGAAGATTACATTTGATATCAACCAAAGTTTGAAACCCTAGGCCTAATATGTATTGTTGAACCCTGGGTTGAATTGAAACAATAGCTATGCTATATCGGCCTAAATGAATTTATCCAAAATACTATATCCACAATTTTTTCCACATTTGTGTTTTTTCATCAGAATTGATTGCTTATGGGTACCTTCACGTGTGTGTAAAATATTATTATATTTATATTCAAAATATTATTATATTTTTATTCATTGATTTTAGATGTGTATGAAAATGTGTTGTTTTTGCAAAATGCTATATATCCATTGTTTAGATGGAATGGAATGTTCGTATTCTGTATATTTGACTGTGATATGTGGTTGTCTCACCTAGCTATATTAAGATGAATGCACTTACTGTAAGTATGGTTCCAGGCGCACCAGTTTGAGTGCGTCAAGAACTTCGACGATGCTGGGTTTTTCCACACTCAACAGTTTCCCGTGTGTATCAAGAATGGTCCACCACCCAAAGGACATCCAGCCAACTTGACACAACTGTGGGAAGTATTGGAGTCAACATGGGCCAGCATCGCTGTGAAACGCTTTCGACTCCTTGTAGAGTCCATGCCCCGATGAATTGAGGCTGTTCTGATGGCAAAAGGGGGTGCAACATAAAGTAGGAAACTGTTCAAAATGTTTTGTACACTGAGTGTATATCAACGCTGAGCAGGGTTGGGCTTGGTTAAAACCTGGATGGGAGACCAAATGGATAGCTGTACAGTATATAGATCAATTCTCCAGTAGGAGGTGCTGCCCAGACATTTTTTTTCTTCTGATAGTGGATATAACGTTGAAGATCTGATGTTGTTTCAAAGGTACAAATTCAACATATTTGATACAAGGTTCTTCTATGTTGAAAATTGGTTACCATGATGACCTAATCCTGAGGTTGAAATTTCACCCTCAACGCAACAGTTGATTACTTTTTTCAAAACCAACATGTATTATCCACGTAGATTCCACATCACAATACGTTCACAAATTACGTTGAAACCATGTTGTTCAACCAATTTGTGCCTAATGGGTTGACATGTTTTTCCATAATGATAATTATTGACCTTCCAATCTCTCATACTCAAATCACTGATACCCCCCTCTCTCTCTTTCTCACTCGCTTCCTCTGTTTTCTCACACACACACACACACGCACTGTAACTGCCTACTTACTCTGTCTATTTTAATAACACGCAATAATGTCATTGCATTTAACAGTGTATAGTTCTTTCAGCTACACCTTCCAAAGAAGAGCTGAGTTCCCAAGACATAACTAGCAAATTGCACATCAAAAGGCAGAGTTGTCAAGATGGCACTTACCAACATGAAGAAAATACATGCTGTCTCTGTGCTGCTGGTAAGCATCTAAAATGTTTAATATTATCTGTATCAAACTATCTAACATTAGCTTTCTTTTGGTCACCATGACAGCACAATACCATAATAACGGCGCAAGAACTGAAATGTTCACTAATTAATATGCACTGTCCCAGTCAACTGTAAATTGCATGAATAAAATGATTGTATGCTACTATGTCTTTCCCTTTGACTGTGTCTTGGTACTCTGTGTGTCCAGGCCAACATCTGGACAACCACTGTAGTGTGAGCCCAGAAGATGGGACCTGTTTTTACTGTAAGCCAGGCAGAACCTACAACAGTGACCCCAACTCCCTGGACTCTTGTGAGCCCTGCACATCTTGCAACCGTAAAGGTATGCCTACACACGCACACAACAGGTGGAACTAACACCCTAAAGGACGTCCTACCTACTGTAGCAAGTGAGGTTTCTAACGTACTGTCACTGTGGTGGTTGGTCTCCGTAGCCAATCTGGAGGTGGAGGACAAATGTACCATCAGAAAGGACACAGTGTGTCGATGCCAGCAGGGCCACTACTGTGACAAGGGGAAGGCGCACTGCAGGGCCTGCTACCCGTGTACCATGTAAGTCCAAAATACTGGAGTTTAACCAAATAACCATCAAATGAAACATTTGATTTGGTTTATTGTTTGTGAAGGTTAAAGGTTAAAGGTAGACTCAGCGAAATGACATTGCCACGGGCAGCGCCGCAGATATTGAGATGAGCGAGATGCAATACTTTGCTCTCCCACAGTCACACACAGTATCTGCGCATGTACACAGGTTTGTTTCACGCTGTTAAAGTGTGGTAGCCACGGGACCAAAACAGCGGAGAAGTTGAGCCTCAAGCTTCAACACTATCACTTGATGCGGAAATTGACCCACTATGTTGATTAACTTTCTGCATCTACGTCTACCTTTAAAAAACATTGTTAAATCGGTTGTAGGCATGTTATTATAAAGACTAGAGCGATATCGACCTGCATCAAATCTTTTCATTTCTCTTCAAGATGTGGGAATGAAGGCATCAAGGTTGCCTGTAACACCACCAACAATACCATATGCCATGACGACCAAGAACAATGAGGTTTGGGGATTGAGTGAAACCATAACATTTCAATGCATTACAAGGATTTGGAAGATGTGGTTTCGCTTACAGTATGAATATAATACGCCAGTTTTTTATTATTTCTCATTTCTTTGTTTCAGGAAGAACAACTCTGGCAGCAGTTATCTCAGTTGTCTCAGTTATGGTTATTGCAGTTTTAGTTTTTTGCTACCTGTGGCGAAATAATAAATATTGTTTTGGTAAGCGTTTGGGTCATTCAGCCAGCTGTAGGCTATACTAAATCACCAGAAGAGGGCACAAGAGGTTGTCCTGTCATTTAGTTAGTAAAGCAGTTGGAGAGAGCGGAAGTCTGGTTTTTGTTGGAAAGCTCCCTGTCCAAAAGTATCAAAATTATGTTTTGAGTCACTCCTTGAAAAAGTTTTTAAAATGTCTGTTTTTGCTTTGTTAGGGAAAAAGCTGGGGCCAAATGGTTGTTTGACCGAAATGCCCAACCGGAGTTTAGAGGTAGCTGAGGTAATTATCTTCAATGGGTCACACTACTGTCCCTGACCACAACCACTGCTTAAAACACACCCATGCATCTCTAGTGCTACATTAGTGTTACATACACTACATGACCAAAAGTATGTGGACATAGTTGGTCCCCCCTTTGCTGCTATAACAGCCTCTACTCTTATGGGAAGGCTTTCCACTACATGTTGGAACATTGCTGCAGGGCTTTGCTTCCATTCACCCACGAGCATTAGTGAGGTCGGGCACTGATGTTGGGCGATTAGGCCTGGCTCACAGTCGGCGTTCCAATTCATCCCAAAGGTGTTCGATGGGGTTGAGGTCAGGGCTCTGTTCTTCCACACCGATCTCGACAAACCATTTCTGTATGGACCTCGTTTTGTACACGGGGGCATTGTCATGCTGAAACAGGAAAGGGCCTTCCCCACAGAATCGTCTAGAATGCATTGTATTATGTAGCGTTAAGATCTCCCTTCACTGGAACTAAGGGGCCTAGACCGAACCATGAAAAACAGCCCCAGACCATTTATTCCTCCACCAAACTTTACAGTTGGCACTATGCATTGGGGCAGGTAGCGTTCTCCTGGCATCCACCAAACCCAGATTCGTCTGTCAGATTGCCAGATGGTGAAGTGTGATTCATCACTCCAGAAAACACCTTTCCACTGCTCCAGAGTCCAATGGTGGCGAGCTTTACACCTGGAATCTTAGCCTTGTGTGCAGCTGCTCGGCCCATTTCATGAACCTCCCGACGAACCGTTCTTGTGCTGACGTTCTAGGCAGAGTTGCAAAGAAAAAGCCATATCTCAGACTGCCCATCTTAATCTTTGATTTTTATTGGCCAGTCTGAGATATTGCTTTTTCTTTGCAACTCTGCCTAGAAGGTCAGCATCCCAGAATCGCCTCTTCACTGTTGACGTTGAGACTGGTGTTTTGCGGGTACTATTTAATGAAGCTGCCAGTTGAGGACCTGTGAGGCGTCTGTTTCTCAAACTAGACACTCTAATGTATTTGTCCTCTTGCTCAGTTGTGCACCGGGGCCTCCCACTCCTCTTTCTATTCTGGTTAGAGACAGTTTGCGCTGTTCTGTGAAGGGAGTAGTACACAGCGTTGTACGAGATCTTCAGTTTCTTGGCAATTTCTCGCATGGAATAGCCTTCATTTCTCAGAACAAGACTAGACTGACGAGTTTCAGAAGAAAGTTATTTGTTTCTGGCCATTTTGAGCCTGTAATCGAACCCACAATTGCTGACGCTCCAGATACTCAGCTAGTCTCAAGAAGGCCAGTTTTATTGCTTCTTTAATCAGCACAACAGTTTTTAGCTGTGCTAACATAATTGCAAAAGGGTTTTCTAATTATCAATTAGCCTTTTAAAATGATAAACTTGGATTAGCAAACACAACGTGCCATTGGAACACAGGAGTGATGGTTGCTGATAATGGGCCTCTGTACGCCTATGTAGATATTCCATAAAAAATCAGCCGTTTCCAGCTATAATAGCCATTTACAACATTAACAATGTCTACACTGTATGTCTGATCAATTTAATGTTATTTTAATGGACAAAAAAATTGCTTTTCTTCGAAAACAAGGACATTTCTAAGTGACCCCAAACTTTTGAACGGTAGAGTGTATGTATATGTGTATATATATATATATATATATATATATATATATTAGTGTATCATGACACTTATTATAATTACTGAGTGAAATATCATTGGTTAAATTGTTTTACGTGTAAACATGTTTTTGCTTATTTGCAGGAAATGCAGCCACTGAGGGGTAATGACATCATCAATATTACCACTGATGTTTGCCATGTTTACTAATATGACCCATATATGCCAAACCTCCCAGATATCGCTAATATCTTGGAGTGGAAGGACATGAAACAGGTGGCCGAGCGCAGCGGAATGACTATTGCCACCATATAATCCCACCAGCTAAACTATCCCAATGACACCCAGGAGCAGTGTTCCAACCTACTGAGGGCCTGGGTGGAGAAGGAGGGGATGACCACAGCCGCTAAGACACTGATCCAGACTCTACACCGCATGAATAAAAAGGCCAAGGCAGAGAATATAATGGCTATCATCAGTAACAAGGAAAACACAGTTCAGAACTCGGGGGCAGAACAGGTGCAGATACCGTATGTACTGCAAGGCCCTGCCAGTACCAAGTACCTATGTGCAACTTGTTTGTTGAATTACCTGTTTGTTGCACTATATATAAAAATATACATACACACATACATACATACATACATACATACATACATACATACTGTCAAGGTAGATGTAGGTGGGTGGAATCAGGCGCAGGACGCAGTACGTTAGTCCAACAGACTTTAGTGAGGCACAGCAAAACAAACACGAAAGAAATGCCCTGAGGCAAAAGCTCCGCACGTAGGCGTAAACACAAGTGCACAAACAGGTGCGACAAAATACTCCAAAACTAAGGAGCAAACTAGCTCAACCGAGCAAACAGTAAATATCCAGCCTACCGGCACAACAGTAAAACAATCACACACAACACCTGACAAACACAACGAGAACTAAATAGGACACTAATGACACTAAATGATAACAGGTGTGACAACAATCAGACAAAAGCAAACGAACATAGAAACATGCAACGGTGGCAGCTAGTATTCCGGAGACGACGAACGCCGAAGCCTGCCCGAGCAAGGAAGAGAGGCAGCCTCGGCCGAAACCGTGACAGTACCCCCCCCCTTGACGCGCGGCTCCAGACGTGCGCCGACTCCGGCCTCGGGGACGACCAGGAGGACGCGGAGCAGGATGCGTCGGGTGCCCACGATGGAATTCCGTCAGGAGAGACGGGTCCAAAATGTCTCTCCTCGGCACCCAGCACCGTTCCTCCGGGCCGTACCCCTCCCACTCCACTAGATATTGGAGACCCCCCATCCGACGTCTCGAATCCAAGATGGACCGCACAGAGTACGCCGGTGCCCCCTCGATGTCCAATGGGGGCGGAGGAGTCTCCCTGATCTCACTTTCTTGGAGTGGGCCAGCTACCACCGGCCTGAGAAGAGACACATGGAACGAGGGGTTAATACTTTTATACTCCACAGGCAGTTGTAATTTGTAACACACCTCGTTCAACCTTCTCAGGACTTTAAATGGCCCTACAAACCGCCGACCCAGTTTCCGACAGGGCAGGCGGAGGGGCAGGTTTCTGGTAGAGAGCCAGACTCGATCACCAGGTGCGTACACCGGTCCCTCACTGCGGTGGAGATCGGCGCTCGCCTTATGACGACGGATGGCCCGCTGCAGGTGGACGTGTGCAGCGTTCCATGTCTCCTCCGAGCGCCGCACCCACTCATCCACCGCAGGAGCCTCGATCTGGCTCTGCTGCCAAGGTGCCAGAACCGGCTGGTAACCTAACACACATTGGAAAGGGGTTAGGTTAGTGGAGGAATGGCGTAGGGAATTCTGGGCCATTTCGGCCCAGGGAACGTACCTTGCCCACTCCTCCGGCCGGTCCTGGCAGTATGTTCTAAGAAACCTACCCACATCCTGGTTCACACGTTCCACCTGCCCATTACTCTCCGGGTGGTAACCCGAGGTGAGGCTCACCGAGACCCCCAACCGCTCCATAAAAGCTCTCCAGACTGTGGAGGTAAATTGGGGACCTCGATCAGACACAATATCCTCGGGTACCCCGTAGTGCCGGAACACATGGGTGAATAGTGCTTCGGCAGTTTGCAGGGCCGTAGGAAGGCCCGGCATGGGGAGCAAACGACAGGCCTTAGAAAACCGGTCCACAACGACCAGTATAGTGGTATTCCCCTGTGAAGGAGGAAGGTCAGTGAGGAAATCCACCGAGAGGTGAGACCATGGTCGTTGTGGAACGGGCAGGGGTAGTAACTTACCCCTAGGCAGATGTCTAGGCGCCTTACACTGGGCGCACACCGAGCAGGAGGAAACATAAACCCTCACATCCCTCGCCAACGTGGGCCACCAGTACTTGGCACTAAGACAGTGCACTGTCCGGCCGATACCAGGGTGTCCAGAGGAGGGTGACGTGTGAGCCCAATAGATCAATCGATCCGAACCTCGAGCGGAACGTACTTCCGACCCTCCGGACATTGAGGTGGACTAGGGTCGGTGCGTAACGCTCGCTCGAGTTCAGCATCGACCTCCCACACTACCGGTGCCACCAGACAAGACTCCGGCAGTATGGGAGTGGGCTCCACGGACCTCTCCTCCGTGTCATACCGCCGAGACAGTGCGTCTGCCTTACCATTCTGTGACCCAGGGATGTATGTGATCTTAAATGTGAACCGAGTCAAAAACATATTCCAACTCGCCTGGCGAGGGTTCAGCCTCCTCGCTGCCCGGATGTACTCCAGGTTACGGTGGTCCGTCAAAATGAGGAAAGGGTGTTGAGCCCCCTCAAGCCAGTGCCTCCACACCTTTAGGGCCTGTACCACGGCTAACAGCTCCCTGTCCCCTACGTCATAGTTTCGCTCCGCCGGACTGAGCTTCTTGGAATAAAAAGCACAGGGGCGGAGTTTAGGTGGCGCGCCGGACCGTTGCGAAAGCACGGCTCCTATACCGGCCTCTGACGCGTCCACCTCTACCTGAAATGGCAAAGAGGGATCCGGATGCGCCAGCACCGGGGCCGAGGTAAACAGGTCCTTCAACCTTCCAAACGTCCTGTCCGCCTCGTCTGACCACTGCAGACGCACCGGACCCCCCTTCAAAAGAGACGTTATGGGATCTGCCACCTGTCCAAAACCCCGGATAAACCTCCGGTAGTAATTCGCAAACCCCAAGAACTGCTGCACCTCCTTCACAGTGGTTGGCGTTTGCCAATTACGCACGGCCGACACCCGGTCTACCTCCATCTTCACCCCTGACGCAGACAACTGATAACCCAAAAAGGAGACCGACTCCTGGAAAAACAGACACTTCTCTGCCTTGACATACAGATCGTGCTCCAACAGCCTCCACAACACTCTGCGCACCAGGGCCACATGCTCGACACGGGTAGGCGAGTACACGAGAATGTCATCTATGTACACGACCACCCCCTGCCCCTGCATGTCCCTGAAGATCTCATCAACGAATGATTGGAAAACTGAAGGAGCGTTCATCAACCCGTATGGCATGACAAGATACTCGTAATGGCCCGAGGTGGTACTAAAGGCTGTCTTCCATTCATCGCCCTCCCTAATGCGCACCAAGTTGTACGCGCTCCTGAGATCTAATTTAGTGAAGAAACGCGCCCCGTGCAATGACTCCGTCATGGTCGCAATCAGCGGGAGTGGATAACTGTACTTCACCGTGATCTGATTGAGACCACGGTAATCAATGCACGGGCGTAATCCTCCATCCTTTTTCTTCACAAAAAAGAAACTTGAGGACGCAGGGGAAGTGGAAGGCCGTATGTATCCTTGTCTCAGAGATTCGTCTATGTACGTCTCCATAGCTCTCTTCTCCTCCTGAGACAGAGGATACACATGGCTCCGTGGGAGCGCAGCTCCTGCCTGGAGGTCTATCGCACAATCTCCCTGCCTATGGGGAGGCAACTGCGTCGCCCTCGACTTACTGAACACAATAGCCAAATCCCCATACTCAGGGGGAACGTGCAATGCGGGCACCTGGTTTGGACTCTCCACCGAGGTAGCCCCTATGGAAACGCCTAAACATCGACCCACACACTGGGCAGACCACTCCATCAGAGCCCTCTCCTGCCACGAAATAGATGGGTTATGGGTACTCAACCAGGGCATGCCCAGCACCACCGGATACGCAGGCGAGTCAATCGGAAATAGCTGGATCATCTCCTGATGACCCCCCCTGCGCACACATCCTAAGTGGCGCAGTGACCTCCCTGATCAAGCCCGCACCCAACGGACGGCTATCTAGGGCATGAACGGGAAAGGGAACGTCAACAGGGAGAAGGGGAATCCCTAAGGCTAAACAAAACTTCTTATCAACAAAATTCCCAGCCGCGCCTGAATCTACCAGCGCCTTATTCTGGGAATGAGGTGCTACCTGTGGAAAACGCACAGATATGCAGAAATGTGCAACAGAGAGCTCTGGGTGAGTGGGGCGCCTACTCACCTGGAAGGACTCCCCAGTGCAGGACCTGTCGTCCTCTCCCCGAGGAGGCCATCCCCAGCACCTAGCCGCGGTGTGTCCTCCCCGACCACAGTTGGTGCAGGAGATGGACCCCCTCGTAAGCCGACCCCTCCTCTCTCTAGCGCCAGCGCCTCCGAGCTCCATGGGGCACGGCTCGGAGGCGCTGGAGGGTGAAATGGACGGACCCCCCTCGGAACGTCCGCGGGTAGCTAGCAGGGTATCCAGCCTGATGGACATGTCGACCAACTGGTCGAACGAGAGGCTGGTGTCCCTACAGGCCAGCTCCCTACGGACGTCCTCGCGTAGACTACATCTGTAGTGATCGATGAGAGCCCGCTCATTCCACCCTGCATCCGCCGCTAGGGTACGGAACTCCAAGGCGAACTCCTGGGCACTCCTCTTCCCCTGCCTGAGGCCGACCAGACGCTCCCCCGCCGCTTTCCCCTCCGGGGGATGGTCAAACACCGCCCTGAAGCGGCGGGAGAACTCGTCGTAGGTGATGGTGTTAGCGTCGATCCTCCTCCACTCTGCGTTGGCCCATTCCAACGCCTTCCCGGAAAGGCAGGAGATCAGGGCGGACACACTCTCGTGTCCCGAGGGCGCCGGGTGCACGGTGGCCAGGTAAAGCTCCACCTGGAGAAGGAATCCCTGACACCCGGCCGCGGTCCCATCATAGGCCCTCGGGAGCGAGAGTCGAACTCCTCTGGGTTCCGGAGCGGGAATGGGCTGAGTGGCCGATGGTGCGGGCAGGGAGGATGGCGGTGGAGGAGTCCCTCGGGTCTCCCAGCCTCGGATGGTGGTGATCACCTCCTGCAGTGCGGACCCCATCCGCAGGATCTGGTCATCCTGCTCACGGATCCTGTCCTCCAACGTCGCCTGTGCTGCTGCGGCTCCTGCTGATTCCATCGAGTATGGTGTGTGATTCTGTCAAGGTAGATGTAGGTGGGTGTGGGTGGAATCAGGCGCAGGACGCAGTACGTTAGTCCAACAGACTTTAGTGAGGCACAGCAAAACAAACACGAAATAAATGCCCTGAG